ATAAGAAATGCTAAATATCACAGTCCATGAAACATTTTCATCATATAGTGTGCTATACTATATCAGCACACAAATATAGTTGCAGCATGAGCAAAATGATACAACACGTTATAGTAGAACAGTCTGGAAAAACACACCCATAAGAGAAACCATACACAAAAAACCTACCAGAGTTCGTACTTGCTAAATGGATGTGGGAGTGCCGGCTAGCGATCATCAAGAAAACACAGGGGACTATAGGAATCTGAAAGTCCCCTTTATAATAAAGGGGGCCCCTTTATAACCTGCCCTGCCACAGGGGAAATGAGTACAGGGGTATTGCTGAATGACATGATTGACAACGGATCTACATCACTGGACTTTTATCCTGTATTTTAATTAAGGGATATTTTTACGGTGTGTGTGTCTTTATTCACTTTTTAATTTATTTTGATATAAGGTACTGAGGGGTACTGATTTACCCTTGCAGTCATTCTCCTGGGGGTAGGCAGGCAGCCTGGGTGCCCAGAAAGGAAGGGCAATGAGTGTGCACCCTTCCACTTTGTGAACCACACAAGGCCACAAGCCTTTCAACACTAAGGTAGTACCTTGCAATGGGGTGCAGGTTTTTCCCCTTGCAATGCAACTTGTTCCAGTATTGAGGGACATGGACTTCTTTCCCACATCATGTCCACCAAAAAGAAATGTGATAATTTATGTGGGAGACTTGTAAGAATCTAAAAGCAAAAGCATATGAAATTTATATATGGGGAATAGTGTCCTTAGGTATTACGAAATCGTTGCTTTGTCTGCATGCTGCTTGAAAGAAATGTTGCTCGCACTTTTTCTTTATTTTTTTCAGGAACCAACACACCTTTTCCAAGCTGAAAGGATGATTTTCTCTTCTGATTTACTGTACATAACCTTTCAGATTTAGTTTAATGCTTACTGTTTATTTTGCAGCCATATGAGCTAGATTTCAGTGTTAAGCAGCCTTGCATTGGCGTCATCACCTTATGTTGTCATGCAAATAACAATAGATGTCCATGCAGTCATAACTTCCATGAGAAACATAAGTATAAAATCCACCAATAATATATTTATATAAGGTTTTTTGGGGAGTAACTCCCCTATAATTAATTTTTTATTATCTTCCAAACTCCCATGCAAAATAAATTAGGTATGAAAAAATAACAAGTAACAAATAAATAGTATTGTCATTGAACTAAGTAACTTGTTATGGTACATGGTACTCACCTTGATGATTTCTTTATTTTAAGGTAATGTATAAATAAATACATTGTAAGTATGGGACAACCTAGCCACAGTTATTCCAATGACGAAGGCTGAGAACTCTACAGAATTTTAAAGTTTGAAAGTGAGAGATCCAACACAAAAATATGCACACTATATGCACAAAATATGCAACACTAACTATATACCAATATTAGTAACAAAAAACAGAGCCCAACTTTACCTGACTTCATGACTGCACTTTGCCAAATACAATTCAAGATGTCAGGAGCATATAAGACTCCTGTTCTATGGCAGTAGCTGGTCTAATTCCAGCATCCCAGTTTTGGCAGAGCTGCACTCTCCTTTTTTGACCATTCAACTGCAGGGTGATTGAGGGTGACTCTAGGTGGAGTCCAAACCTGTTTTCAGCCTGCCAAGCCCTTAGTGTCATGCTTACGATAGTCTTTGCCAGACGTGCTTCAAGCTCTGTTTACCTGCCTTGTTCCCGAGCCTTGACCTTTTACCTGCACCTGATCCTCGCCCTGCCAGCTATTTTGAATTTCCTTGGTATTGACCTCAGATTGGACTTTGGACTACTCTGTAAACTCAGTCTGGTTTTGACCAGGGATTTGACCCTGACTACTCTCTGTAGTGCCTGCCCTGAACCAAGATGCCATTAGACCACTCTACCTGTCTACCAACCTCAAGTACCTGTTTGCTGTGCTTAGCATGCACCTGCCCAGCATGGTAGTCAGGCACTATAGAATAGCTAGGGGCAACCAAGTACCAGTAGGCCTGCTTGCCTTATGGGAAAGGGGTCTGCTATAGGTGAAGAAAACAGAGCCAGCTATAGTGCCTGACCACCAATGCTAGGGGTAGGCTTAACAAAAACAATCTATAAAACAACAGAAGTATATAATAAAAGAGGTGCGAGCGCCTTAAAAACAAAACAAAAACAAAGCTGCTGTACACAAAAGGTAACCAATAGCACCCTAAAACATTGATAATAAACAAGAAAGTGCAGCGCTAGAATGAATACAATGTCCAAATGGCGTGTAAAATCACTGAAACCACAGAATAAAAATTCAATTTAAAATCAAAAAATGGTAAAATCAAAAAAAGTTCCAATATGAACAATATATAAAGTGACTCTCGTGCTTAATGACTCTGGATCCGGTATCAGTGCAGTAGTGGTAAAGGTAATGCGCACTCACCGGACGCGCATAGTTATTGCGCCTTATATTAAAATCCAGATGTCATCAAACAGGTATTGGGTTGATGGACTTCCCTCTCAGAGATGGTGGGTCATCATTTATCATTCTTATTTAGCATTTTTATAGTGTGTGAATGATATGGTAATGGCTCCCAGTTAAACCAACGGAAAATGGCGCCGAAGCCCTCATGCGTGCGCAGTAGATAAACAGAGCTGAGACAGTCATTCGTGTGCCCTGTTACTCACATAACGGGAACTAACAAAAAATGGCGCCTGAATGTGCGCGCCTGCGCTTCGCCAATATGGCCTTGGCTTAATGCGCATGTGCCGATTTTCCCCTCTGAGGACATGTTTGTACACGATACGCGTCAGGAGGAGCCACATCACGCCGTGACGTCATGTCACCGGAGCAACGTGCAGCTCCGGTGACCATCTTTAATACCAGATGGTTAGTCCTGTCTGTTTTTACCTATTGATGCATCACAATAAAGTTGTCTAATTACTACACTATGGGAGTTTCCTTGTCCTTACCCCCTGGGGGAGCTCTTTAACCAGCAGACCCACTACTCTAGGAGGCATTGCCGTACCCTGAGGGATAATCTGCATATCCAGAGAGTTACTTCTGTTTGAATACAAAGGAGCTTTAAAGAACCAGGACCATCTTCACCAACCCCATAACATCTATTCTGATAACCCACCATCTCTGAGAGGGAAGTCCATCAACCCAATACCTGTTTGATGACATCTGGATTTTAATAGAAGGCACAATAACTATGCGCGTCCGGTGAGTGCGCATTACCTTTACCACTACTGCACTGATACCGGATCCAGAGTCATTAAGCACGAGAGTCACTTTATATATTGTTCATATTGGAACTTTTTTTGATTTTACCATTTTTTTGATTTTAAATTGAATTTTTATTCTGTGGTTTCAGTGATTTTACAAGCAGAGTCATTTGGACATTGTATTCATTCTAGCGCTGCACTTTCTTGTTTATAATCTATAAAACAAAACCTAAAGCCTAACTGAACTCTCCTGTATTATTACTGTAAGGCATTCAGAATGCATAAATACTAATCAATGTGGACTTTTTTTTCTTTTTTTAACACTACTATTTCCTGCAGGTTTGAAAACCCTGTGTTGACAGCATACTGGACAGTCATACCTCTGCCCAACACAGAGCTCTGTGGTACTGTTGACTGGGGCATGGGCAGAGAGTGCATCCAACCACTGGAGATCTGGACCTCTGCCCTCTGTGCTCAGCAGAGTTTGGGCTCTCCAGCAAGTTTCTAGTGCTAGGTATTTGAACACTTTCTGCAGTAAAAGTAGAGATAAAAATATTACTATTCATGCATCCTGACATTATTACAGTAATAATAAAGGAATGTTTAATTTAGCTTTAAGGGCAAAAAGAGGAAGAAGGCTCTGGGACATAATTGGTTAAATAAAAGCACAGCTGGATTATTAAGAATAGCATGGAACCAAAATAATAGCTTTTCATTGGCACACATATATGAAACTAAAGCATCCATCACAACACACAGTGCTCTTAAATACTGTATTAAACTGTTGTTAGAGGGGGTTTTCTCTCATATCTCTAATTTGTTTCCATATGTATACACATGAATGTCTCTAAATTGAAAGTTTTTTTGTCATCATTAAAATTCTGCAGAGGGGAGATCAGATCAATTATTTTAACATCTGCTGGTTCTGAATAAAGATGAGACTTCTGCTATGCTACCATAATTGCAGTACATGAAATTTCTATACCTACAAGTACAATAAGTTACATTACATAAAATGCCTCTTTTGGCTTTTCACTTCCCCATGTGATTTGTATGCAGAGCAACTTCAATTTATTTCTCTGCTTAGGAATTCACAGGCTAATAGCATTTGACATCTTTACAAACCCTTAAACCGGCAAATAAAACTCTAATGTTACATCTTGGTTTATTTTGATTTAAAAGACATCCAAATGGTTCCTACCAAAGAGTTGAAATTTACAGCCATGTAGGTTATAAATAATGGACTGTTTAGGCATCATATTTAATTACTATTTCTGTCTTACATGGTTTAACCCCTCGCCTACAGGGCACTTATACCCCCTTCCTGCCCAGGCCAATTTCCAGCTCTCAGCGCTGTCACACTTTGAATGACAATTGCGTGGTCTTGCAAACACTGTACCCATATGAAATTTTTATCATTTTTTTGTGACAGATAGAGCTTTATTTTGGTGGTATTTAATCACCTCTGGGTTTTTTATTTTTTCTTAAACAAACCAAAAACCACTGAAAATTTTGAAAAAAAAAAAGTTTTTTCTTAGTTTTTGTTATAAAATTTTGTAAATAAGTGATTTTTCTCCTTCACTGATGTACGCTAATGAGGCTGTAGTGATGGGCACTGATAAGATGCACTGATGGACACTGACAGGTGGCACTGATGGGCACTGATGAGGAGGCACTGGTAGGTGGCACTGATGGGCATTGACAGGCATCACTGATGGGCACTGAAAGGCAGCACTGATATATAGCACTGATAGGCGGCACTGATAGGCGGCACTGACTGGTACTGTTAGGCGTCACTGACTGGCGCTGTTAGGTGGCACTGACTGGTACTGATAGATGGCACTGATTGGCACTGATAGGCGGCACTGATGCGCACTGATAGGCGGCACTGACTGGCACTGATTAGCGGCACTGACTGGCACAGATATATGGCACTGATAGGCAGCACTGATAGGTGGCACTAATTGGCATTGATAGGTGGCACTGACTGGCACTGATGGGTGACACTGAAGGGCAGCTCAGATGGGCACTGATTTGTGACATTGATGTGCACTTGTAGGCACTGATATGTGGCATTGTGGCACTGATGGGCACTGGCACGTAGCATTGTTCAGCTGGCACTGATGGACTCTGACAGGTGGCACTTCTAGGGCCACACTGATCATCAGTGCCCTGATGATCAGTGTACATGTCCCCACCGCGGAATGCCGATTACCAGCTCTCCTCTCCTCTCCTCTCGAGCTGTCCGCGTGACAGCTCGAGAGGAGAGAAATGCCGATAACCGGCATTTCCTATTTACATGCGATCAGCTGTGATTGGACACAGCTGATCACATGACTGAGCCGACATGTTCGGCTCTTTCCATGGATCGGTGATCCGCTGTGTCCGAGGGACACAGAGAACCGCCGATCACCGCGCTGCACATTCCCTGAGCCACGCATGCATGGTGAGAATGGCAGGACGTCATATGACGTCCTATCAGAACGAGAGAACCACCTTGCGCCAGTCAGTGGACTATATGGTGGGCAGGAGGTGGTTAAAGGAAACTTGTGCCAAGACAAATATGGAGGCTTCCATTGCTGTGCTCCTCCTGAAAATGCTGATCCATTGACTTCAACTAGAACAACCATGCATCCAGTGAAGCTATAGTTTGGAAAAAAAAAAAAAAAACTTTTACTTGTTTTCATGGTAGTGATTCACGGGTTATCAAAGCCTTTAGATCAGTACTCCAACCAGGCAATAGAGATTTTCAAAATTAGATCAGTAATGCCTTCATCCATATTTCTCTTTAAAAGGATCTATATACATTGGAGTCCACCATTTTGCTGACCGAACTTATAGTGATACTAAACCCACAACTGTAAAATCAGTCTGTGCTGTATATGCAGTAAAGCATGCTTGTTATACTCACTGTGGAACCTAAGGGGTTAATTCTCCACTTTGTGTAAAAATGATGTTTGATCCTGTCTACTCTGATACTCCCCTTCTTTCATTGTTCCCTAAATAACTCTTGCTAGAACAGAGGTTTGGAGTCACTCTGCACGTGCTCAGTTTGCTGTGTATTGCTAGAGAGGTTTTCTTGGGAGGGTGCATGTGATCAGCACATGGCCAATCAGCACTGTCTAGACAGGGGTCAGGCATCCTGCATCCTCGTACAGGAGAGTTAAAACTCCTCCTACAAGCTTTAAGCAGTGCTCTGCTGGTCACTGATAGAAGCCCTGAAACTGCTATATACTGCTGATTAGAAAAGGTATTTAGCAGTTTATATTTACTAAAATAATTGCATTTCCATGTTCTGTGTACTGTGGGAGACCAGATATAGTGATTGCAAGGTCTAATAACACTTTAATATAATAGAAAGTACAGCAATGCTTTGGCTGGATGACTCTAAAAAGAGTGAATCACAATTTTTCCAAATGTGTCCAGGGCCAGTGTAGGTGGAAGGTGTGAATAAATCCCTGCTTCTACCTCCATACACCATCCAGATACTTGTGTGCAATACCTGCACTGTCTTCCAGATAACGGTAGGGCTGGGCTAAGGATGCTTTCCATTGATGTGTGTTTATGATGTGAGATGGAACCTAAGTAAACAAATCCTGCACTGTTTAAGACTGTATAATGAGGTGGTTGGAGCAAAACTGTCAGGGAAGGCTTGCCAATAGTGCAGATGGAGTTTCCAGGCACATACATGTACACAGACATGAGCACGCATGCACTGTCATCAATATTGGCACCAAACAGGCTATTTAAACAGGGTTATAGCACTGGCTCATTGCTGTTTGCTCTACAGCATTCTGCTTTTTTCCTGATTCCTGTGCCTGACCCTGATTCTGCTTCTGCCTCCTTATCTTGCTTGATCTGCTTCACCACTGTTGACACTGGCCTGCGACCCGACTTCTCTCTTGCCTGACATTTATACCTGATCTGCTTATCTGTTACCAGCCCGGATTGTCTGACCCTGAATCCTGCTCATCTAGCCTGCTACAGTTCCTCCAGTCCAGCACACTCTCATCTGGCTTATGCTTCTTGGTGCCAAGCACCAGCCTGTATGTCACTGGCCTGTCCTGCCTGCTGTCAGCTGCTCCTGTTTCCTGGGGACCCCTATGAAGTTTAAGCTACTACCAATGCAGATTATTGGACTGATCACAGGCATTCATACCTTGCCTTGTTCTTGCAGTTACTGTTTCATTATCAGTGGCCCCTAAGCCATAGCTGTATGAAAGGCCTTCCTGTTCATGTCAGGCTCACTAACCAAGCATGTTACAAAAACCATTTTGTTTTTTTATTTTTTTATTTCTTTTGTGCCCTTCATTTCCTTGGCCAGTTCAGTTGGTGCAAGAAAATGTCATGGTCCATATTAAAATGTAACTTATTGCCTGGAACTGCCTGTCTGCACTTAATCCCAGCAGACTGTGGTGTCATACATGCTTAAGCTTTCTACAGCTCAGAAGAAAAATCATATACAGCTTTTATTACAGAACAGCCCTATACATTGGACATGAATGATAAGAGATCCAGTCTTTTCTCCATATGCGTAGCTAAAAAGGCAATGTCAACTTGAAATTATGTTCCACGCATACAGTCTGGATGGGGTTCAGATATATCAGCAGAATATTTAGCTTTTGAAACATGTATTTAGTACATATTTGCTATACATTTAATTTAATAATATAGCAGTCTTAACACATATTGGTGATAATGAGTTCATAAATATTAACCATAGACTCCACACCAATGTATTCTATCAATTAATTCACAAAAACAGAGAGGAATCAATTTCATGTTTGACATTTGCTCTACTTATTTTAAGTGTCCTGCTGAAATGTGTGCAGTAATAATTCCTAGATATTACCAATTACAGCTGATGAAGAGATACAACAAACTGTACTGATATATTATTGATATACTTTAATTACATCAGAGCATTGTTCTAAACGTGACAATATTATTGTTAAATGAAATTTTATTTAATGGAAGGAGAAAATAGAGCAAGACATTACACTATTCATATATACCAAAGATGAACATTTCCAGCTCACCTAAAATACATCAGATAGCTCATGTAAGTGACTGGAGCCATTACGACCAAGATTTGTTCTGTCAGACTGAAATGATTGTTTTTTAAAAAACATTCAGTTCTTTGCATATTGACACTGAATGCTGCCAATCTAGTGAAATGTTTTTCTCCAGATATGACATTTACCAATTTAAATGCAAACAGCATTGGAAGAGCTGGGAGATATTTCTAAGGAAAAGGGGCCGAACTGTAACATTCATACAGAAGCAAAGATCATAGCGAGGGATGACTATTATATGCCTTGAACCATCATTTTATTAGGTGCATCTGGCTAACAGTGATTAGCTCTTTCATTTGGCCTAAGAACAACCTTTATTTATTGGAGCAATGGCTTACTGAGTGTTGGAAGCTCAACACAGAAATAATGGTCTTAGGCCACTGAAATGTGACCAGGAGTCACTGTAAATTAGTTGCTAGGGAATCTATAAGCTAAATGGTTTATTTTGTTCAATGAAACAGATGCAGGGATGTGCTGGAATGGAATATGCATGGATTAGAAAGATATATTTACTCATATGTACTTTACTGCAAGCCTGTTCCAGCCTTATGGCAAAAGAAATTATCATGCCTTAGAAGCCTTTACATATACAGTTATACTAATGTCATGAACATATATAATGTGCAGCTACACTCTATCATTCACATATACAGTACCTGATTTAAATATGTAATGGTAAGGTTCCTAGGCTATTGGTCAGTCTCACTGCCAGCTTTACACTTTAATGATCATAACCCTTTTTAGAAAGAAATGGCTCAAAGATATCACCTTTGACAGTGTGGATTTTTACTACTGGACAAGGTCTTGTAACAGAAACAACAATCACTGCCCAAGGCAAAAGCAGATCAAACATGCATAGCTATGCCTTGCATTGCTATGTTGATATGGAGAAATATCTGCTATGGAGAAATCCAATTAACAAAGCTGGATGCACACATACTGAAAGTTGGCAGCTTAAGCAGGAACCAACCAGCTTTTTTGTTACTCTTCTTTGTTCAACAGAAGCCAGTCTAACAACTGGCTTCTGTCAAACTGTCTTTCTGGAAAAAACAGCATTAAATCAGCACTTGCAGCCAATGGCTACATGCGCCAATCTGTTTATAATGGCAGGGGAATCCCCCCTGTCAGAATACAATAGCACAGCAGGAGAGGTTCTTGTATCACACATCGTTTGTGACGATGTGGGGATATCCCACTTTTTTCGCTCAACCCACTAGTATACAGTATATTGAACTTAAGTGCCACTGGAAAACAACTGACTTACAACTTGGTCACTAAGCTGCACACACAGTCCATCCTGAGAAGGAAAACTCTGATCAACAAAACATGAATAATACTTTTTCACCAGTATGCGGTAGTCCACTGTAATCGGCATTGACACAACTCATGCACTTTCTACTCCAGGTGGTGTAAATAAGCCACACTTTAGGTACAGTGAAGCCCAATATGAGAGCATAGCCCCACCCATGCACTTTCAAAGGCCTTTGTTCAACAATTGTTTGATTGTGCAAGCATATTGTTTGAATGAGCCTATTTTCCACATATGGTAACAACTGCCCTTTTATTGCCTGTGTATTGTCATGATTGCCCATTTCTGGCTTGTGTATTGTCATGATCACCAATTTTTTGCCAACATACTGTAATAATTTCCCATTTTTTGCCAGAATATCAACACAATTAACTTACAGATGTGTCACTATCAAACCATGCCACTATTATCTTAATGTTTCACCGTGGCACACTATACCCTGTTCCAAATTATTATGCAAATTCTATTTAAGTGTCACAAAGATTAAATATTTTGTTTTTCAGTTTAACTCATGGATGGCATTGTGTGTCAGGGCTCTTTTGATCACTGAAAACAATCTCGGACACCTGTGATAATTAGATTGGCAGGTGAGCCCAATTTAAAAAAAAAAACTACTAAAGGAGGGTGTTCCACATTATTAAGCAAAGCACTATTTTCAAACAATATAGGGAAGAAAAAGGATCTCTCTGCTGCCGAAAAGAGTGAAATAGTTCAATGCCTTGGACGAGGTATGAAAACATTAGATATTTCACGAAAACT